GGCAGGGCTGCTCTCAATCCCTTCATCCCCCAGCCTGTATTGATACCGGGGGTTGCCCTGACCCAGGTGCAGCACCTTGCACTTGGCCTTGTTGAACCTCACGAGGTTCACATGGGCCCACTTCTCAAGCTTGTCCAGGTCCCTCTGGATGGCATCCCGTCCCTCTGGCCTGTCGACCGCACCACTCAGCTTGGTGTCATCTGCAAACTTGATCCCACTGTCAATGTCATTAATGAAGATATGATGTAGGCATCTAGGCAAGTAGGTTTGGGCAGCAATTTAGATAAAGCAGGTCGATGCATGTATGTGTCAGAGCTCTGCGGTATGTAAATAGATACCACAGTGGTGGGCACATTACAGTTGAGGCATAGATTAGTTGGACACACACGTGAGCAGCAGCTACACATACTCAGTTTCCCAGATCTGTCCTAGGCTTTTCTGGGGCTGAGTCAACCAGTTGTGCACATGTGTCATATTATGCATGGTGTTGTTCTGTCTTTTTATTTTTATTGACTCCATATTATCTGCTATAAATTCTGATTTTGCAATGATGAATCATCTCACTACCTTCTACAATCTCCCTTCCCTATGTTGCAAGACAGATTTAAATTCAGTCAGTGCCTACTGACATCATCCCAGTTTGTTTTTATTTTCTGGGATGCCACCCTTAAATGCACAGCACTAAGTTTACCGATAGAGCTGTTTTACATGTACAGGAAAGTTACACTCAGTCATTCTTCCTTTTTGTCCTAAATTCTTTAGAAACACTGCTGTTTCTGCAAATCTCCAACCAGCATGGTCCCCATAAATGTTTCTTCTTTTCAGTTCAAGGGTATGATGAGGTTTGAAATTAAGTCACCTACCTGTATTCACGCAACTGGATCAGCAAAACATTTCTTTTGCGGTTCTGCAGCTGCAGCAAATACCTCATGTGAGACTGCTGGGGACCCCCAGTCACTCAGGATGAGTTGGGAGTGCAGTGGGTGTCTTTCCCAACACACAGTGCTCTATGCACTAAGCCACATGTATTTCGATGACTTCTCCTGCAAGGGGAGGGAGCGGAGCTGGAGGAGAAAAGTTTTTAACAGCCTCTGCCTGCATCAACACAATCCAACCTCCTTTGTTTTAATTATACCAAACGATGATTTGGAGCAATATAAATTTCAAGATGGATGCAAATCTCCTGCCGATCTCTGCTGAGCAGGGGGGGAGCTGTGGGGACCTGCGTTCCCAGCCACAGCCGCAGCCCCTGTTCCCCTAGCAGCCTTGGCCCTGTCCAGGCAGAGATGGTGGGACAGGTGATCACAGGCCTCAAGGTTTGCCCTGGTAAATATTTCTTCTGCATGCCACTATGCAGAGATGTGCCAAGTCATGTTAACACCCTTATCTGGGAAAATGTCCCTTCCTTGCCACACATAACACCTCGGGGAAAATTTCAGTCTGAAAGCTTCAAAATCAACTGCAAAGAATTCAGTATAATCAGTTCCCAGGATACCTCCAAAATACAAATGCTGCAAACAGAATTGGAGGGTTAGGGTTAGATTTCTTTGATTTTTCAGAAGCTGCTTGACTTGCTTGGTGCTGTCCTTTTTTACACACGGTTCCCAGTCCTCTCTTTGCATCTGTGTGTGCATGTGTGTATATCTAGTGCAGCGTATGCAGAGATACACAGATTTTATCTTTTTTTTATCTTCCTCCAAACTGCAGTTCTCTCAGCAGTATTTTGTTTGATTTACACGGCAAAGTGTGGTTTTCCTCTACGAAATAAGCAAAAGAGGTGTAGACTCCCATGCTTATATCTGGGTTATGTCATTTTAGTTATATGTAATTGTAGCTTTATTTTTATGTAATTTCTTTTCGTTCACTGCTAACATGCATACTGTGCTGCTAATCTTTATGATTATTTTTTCCTGAGGATGCTTAGCCAGTACAGAACTCTGACCTGTCCACCCACAGTGGTAAAGACATATAATTCCTAAGACAAACTCTTTTTTCTGCTTGCTCCAATTCAGCCTAACCTGATAGGTTAACCTAATCCGCATAATGCACACCTATTTTCATATTTCATTGATGCTATGCTCAGAGTGGTGGACTCTATGCACAAGTACGTCATCAGGTTCTGTCCAGGTCTATTTGCAATTGTGGTTGTCAGCAAACTACCCTGAACCATATGGGATCAGCAGAGAGCTTTTCACTCATCTCCAAAGAGCCTGAAGTCTTACTGTTTGTTTCTTACCAGACATAGGTTACCACTCTGGAGCTCAAAAAGGAAAAGTGTTAATGTGTCATGAGAACTTCATACGGCAAGTCAGCGTGTGTCATTTGCATGTCACATTATTTCACAGGTCTGAGACACAGTTTTAAAAATCTCTTGATGGAACGTACATGCCTCTCCCTAAAGTGCTTCTTGTGCTGCACCTTCTTTGGAAACAAGTAAGTACAATTCCACTAAAATAAACAGGGGTATGCTGATTTCTAGTAGCTAAAGATCTGCTCGTTCTTTACATAAATAAATGCAAAAGACTGCATTCCCTGGCTTCGTCTGTCAATTTTGCAGCATAGAGTGAAGAACTTAAGGACAGATGGAAAGCATCTGGAAGTAAAATTTTAGCTATATGAAGGAATTCTTTATTGGAAGAAAGCTGGAGAAAGCCCATACCTTCTGCAGTATTTTCCCCAGCTACTCTCTTGCCACACTAATTTCTACCTGTAATGGATATCTCAGGTAAAGGACTTACTCTCTTCACCCAAGTACAGCAGATTTCCAGTAAGATATCCGTACGTGTGCACACATACATACGAAGAAAGAGCGTGAGTGCTTATTCATGTGTGTGTTTTGCATGACAGGAGGGTCAGAAGAGACGATAATAGTTTGTCAAATAATAAAGTATAATTACACTAGGGAAAGAAAAGGTTGGTAACACCTGGTTGGTCTATTCTTTCTTTGCATATTTATTTGTGCTATTTCCAGTGTGTTACGAGACCTTAGTGGGTTTTGACTGATTGCTTTGTCCTCACTTACTCCAGTGTGACTCCATCAGTTTCTCTGGTACTGAACCAATATACCTGAGCATACCACTGAACGAATATTGGTTCCCATGCTTTGTTATACAGATGTGATGCAGAGCAGAAACAAACTGATCCTGAGGCCAAACATGTGGTATGGATTGTGGTTACAAAGATCAGTGATGAAGCCAGCACCCTCCAATTACTCCAGTGGTTTCTGGTAGATCTTTCCTTTTTTTTCCCCTTTTTAAAAAAAAATTATTTATTAATAAAATTATTATGAAACACTGCATTCCTATTCACATCCTGAGCAGTGAACCAATAGCCAGAGACATTTCATAAACAGGTGAAAATTTACACTATCAATCACTTTTTTGTGATAGGAGTGTTTTGGGTCTTGCCAGACACGAATGTGTCTAAGTCTCTGCTGGTGCCGTGTACTGCACAGGCTGCCCCGGTGAGTGCGCTGGCAAGTTCATCAAGAGCTGCTGCCTGCAAAAGTGAAGTCTTGATGCACGTATGCGGTTTGGGATCTTTTTTTCTTTGACTATGTTTTAAAGCTAGCCACAGTTTCCCGTGCAACTTGAACTCAGTGTTCACAGCATGCCCCAATGTCATTTCCGTGTGACTCAACGTGTCAAAAGGTAGGTTGGTGCGTGCAGCCTTGCTTTCCCCTGGTGCCTGGCTCACAGTGCCAGCATCCATTGGGGATGGACGTCCTTGCTCCTGGTGTTCTAAGCCACATGTGGGTCTCTGCTGCTACACAGCAAGAGGCTGTCAGAAGTTTAACAGCAATAGCACAGAAATGTGCTATTTGGGGCTCATTGCTTCAAAATGTCATGGAGATAAAGAATTTAGCAAGATTCAAATTTGGGTTCTGCGTTACATGAAAACAGGACTGTTGAGAAGTAAATAATCAGAAAAATATTTGGAAAGGTTGCAAAGTGCCAAGTTTTGAAGATTTAAACCAGTCTTTACGAGCTGGCAGGATGTCTCTGAGGGGAACAGTTTATCCTGCCAGAAGTTTCTTGCAAATGCTCCTAAACCACCACTGTCAGAGTCAGCCTATGGGGTCTATTTAAGCTGACCACTGGCCTGACTGATTTTTAGGTACTGAACAACAGAAAATAAGATTAAATCAGAGATTAATCCATGTTCTATAACTGTGACCACAACTAATGTGACAGACATGATGTACAGTTGCAGCAGAGAAAGCAAAACCATTTTCATGAAAAATAGAACATGCCAACCAAGAAATGACTCAGTCTTTGCAGCATTTCAATAAAAATATCTTTGACACTCTGCATGGACCCACCTACACTCATATATAGTGTGAGTAGCTTAAGATGTCTAAACTTGTCTCACAATCTCGGGTCAAAAGGAAATCACTCATTAAAGGAAAAAATGGTAAACATCATTTAAGCACTTTTGAAAGGCACTGTGCTGATAGCAAAGTGCTTTGTAATCTGGAGAGCAAGCACAAAGTGAATGGATAGATTTCCCTACACTGACACAGTAACGTGCCTTGCTTTGGTCCCAAGAGACTGTCCCAGCCGAGGGTGAGAGTTTTTTGGCTGAGGAGACTGGGCAGTGCCTGCTGTAGCCCATGATGTGATCGATTATCCTGCCCCTACACCCAAACGGAGCCTGCACACGCTCCCATCAGCTACTGGGCGACTGTCAGGCATCAGCCCCCTCCATTTGGGCTGGACCAGCTCTGCCGTAGTGACACAAGGAGCTGTTTGTATCCCATTTCAAATGCCTTGAAACAAAACCCTTTCCTTGCTCAGCTGCCACAGGAGCATTGGTTCCCCACACTCTCCCAGTGCTTGCTCAGCAGCACTGCATGCTACCTTGGCACTCTCAGTGCACCCTGATAACAAGTCGATTTGCACATTGCAGCTGTTGACCCCTCCATTTGATGGCCAGCAGCATTCAACATTTTCTGTCTCATCCCGGTGACCCTCTATCTGCCAGGCTGTAGCTCCAGGGACACGGCTGGACAGGGACCCTGTGCACTAGCTGGGGACCTACAAAGATGTTTCCGCAGCAAGGAGCCATAGAGACTGCCAGCTCCTCGCACTGGAGGAGAGCTTGGCATTGATGGCCATCACCCACACATGGCCAGAGCGCCGACAGCCCCACCATCCAAGGCCTGGTGAAAACCCTAACCTTTCCTTATCAGCAAGGCGGGCCTAGATAAATGCCAAAGGACAGAAGCATGGCAGCAGCTCATATGGAGAAAACACATCCTGCTTATCGTTACAGCTCTCAGTAACATCAAGGCAGCTTGGCTGAAGTTCAGCTCTTTACTCCAGCCTTCATCTGTGCTGTCGTGCTTGTTCTCATTTTATCCGTAAAGGTGTTAAACAGATTTTCCATCTCACTTTGTGGTTTTGACACTTGTATAACAGGTTTTTTTCCCGTGCTCAGGTTTTCCCTGGAGCTATGATCTCCAAGAAGCTAACGGTGCTTAGTTTGGAGATCTGGGTCTCCCTGCCTCAGCCACGCCGACTGGTGTCATCTAGCCCTGTTGTAGCTGAGGAAACCATGTATGTAGCAAGCTACTTCTTAAGTGTGAAAGAATCTGTTCTCTTCCAGGCTTAGGGTGGGAGTTTTAACAGCCATTTAACTCTGCTCTTGAGGAATCAGAGATCTCTCACTTTGATGGGAAAAAAACTCTACGATTCTTTTCACAATTCCATGCTAATTTACCTATTCTTGTCCTTTTTTAATAATCTAGACTGTCATACATAAATTACTATGGCACAGTAATTTCTACTTGATACAAAAATAAAGAGAGAACAAATACAGAAAAAGATTTTTTTTCTGTCTTCTTGCTTTCAGTGATGTCTCTTCCCTCAGTATGCCTGATACTCTTATTATTGCACTGTCTCCTTACCAGCTCAGTAGATAGAGTCCAGAAGCCTGCTGAATTAGGTAAGTGTACAGTTATTTTTAACCCAGTTGAACGTTACATGTTTGTATGGCATGTTGTGCAACAGATATACGCTGGTGTCATATGACATTCTGTCCAGACACTTGTCCTAAATTTAGCTCTAAATTTAACCTGAGAGATGTAGGGCGAATAATTAAATGTCAACCCTGCAAAACAAACCTGTTGCATTGTGATTTGAACTTAAAGGGGGCATAAACCTCTGGTCCTCTCTCATGCGTGCTCAAAGCAGTCAGTGCAGGACAACAAGCTTTCTCAGTGGCAGCATAAAGGACAGTTCATTTGATCAGGGCTTCAAATGTTGTATTTATTACATATGAAATTACCACACAGCAAAAACAGCACTGGGTAAATAGAGATGATGGTGCAGTGCCCTTTAGCACAGTCCATTCTGGTTCTTTTGCTGCTCGCCTGCACAGCAACCAACGATGTCCCAGGCCTGGCCATCTCATCAGGGGGAGCAGGCCAGCGTAGCATGGCAGGTGTCAATGTGGATGACAGCTTGTCCCCCTGCTCTGAGTTTCTGAGTCCCATGGCAGCAAACCCACTTCCAGTTGGGGTGGCCAGAAGCCACCTTCAGCATTCATCCCAAGCCAGGCTGGAGCCCATCCCTCAGGAACTAAAACCACCCACTTCTCTCTGGGGTTGTCCGCAGGAGGGTCCTGCTCTGCCTTGCCAACTCCAGTAGCACCTCCTAGCGTATAGAAAGTCATAATTCCTTGAACTTCATTGTGCTCAAAGTTACGGACATTTCTTCAAGCTGAATTTAGGTAGGGGCATCTGTTGTTTTTTGAGGGCTGTTCATCTGTGGCAATAGTAAAGCAAAGACAGATCCGTATCCAGAAAGCCTGTTGTTCTCATGTCATTGAGAGAAGGGAAGGAAAGCAATGCAACAGGTCTTATTGAGTACAGCAGGCACAACAGTTAGAAACAAATCAGTCTTAAAACAATTAGAGGGTACCAGAGAAATGTGTCAAAAGAGACTTTGTTCATAAACTAGCCTAAGGGATAGAATGGAGAGGTAAACACCCATTGTATATTTCCAAAGACTGCTTTAAAAAAACTGTGGAAAGGTTGTTTCCCATCAAAATCGATTTCGCTTTTCCATCATTGCTGTTTTGGGGTTGCTGTTTTTCCCATGACCTTTGCTATTCACAGCAGCTTGTGTCTCTTGTTGCCATTCTCATCCTCCTGCTCCCCTGCAAGAGCCTTGGAGCAGTGGGGTTGCAGCAACATCTCTGAATTTTGTGGATTTTGTAAAGGTCAGGAAAAAGACAATTCTTTCATTAGAATTCTTACTAACATACATTATAACATAAGATAAATGATATTTGCACAGCAAAGAGTAACTAAAAGATAATGTTTATGCTTTCCCTCTATATTTGTTTATATAGTCTTTGGGTTGTGTTCGCTTCATATTAGCATTTCATGTTCCCTCTGACTGATTCTTCTTTCAGTTTGAGTCAGTGGATGTGACCTTATGATGACATTTGCAGAGAGGCAGCAACTGCAGTAGCTGCACGCTCTCCCAAAGCTCACTGGCAGGGCAGGTCCAGGCTGCGACATCAGATACCTGAAATGGGACTTAGGACCCCGGATACTGGGTGTTCCCCTTTGTGCTCATGTCATATTTCCAGAGGAGTGAGGACTCCATTTTGTTTGTAAGGTAAAAATTTTCTGTGAGGAGCCACAGTGCAGAAATGGAAGTTGTACACTGAGCCGAAGTCCACCCTGACTCGGGGGTGTGAGTCAGGAGCCATTAGCGTGGGATAAATTCCTCCAGAAAGGGGAACTATGTTTTGAGTAGAGTGATCTCAAACACCTACTTTTTGGCAGCACTGAAGTATTTAGGCAGCAGAGTCAGCAAGAAGTAATGATGTATATTGTATTCCCTACCCCTGGGCACGTGTGACATCCTGCACCTTTTCCCATACGAGTGCCTCTGGCTCCTTGCCTCTCTCAGGGTACTGGGGCCAAAGCAATCATTAGTTCTTGCAAAGGAAATTGAAACCACCTTCCCCTGTGGGAGTTTCTGTCTTCTTGTTATTTGAATGTGGGTTGTATAGCAGGAGGCACAGGAGAGTTGCTTTTGGTTCTGGTGTTTGCATTTAATCTTTGGGAGTGTCTGATGGAAGCACAGCATGGCAACACTGAATGCAAAGCTCTGCTCATGGAATATGAAAAAAGTAGAGATGTGTGCCACAGGTCTATGCTCTCAGTGAAATATGCCACCCAAAACATCTTGCTGTCTTTCTACAGTAAAAAAGTTCAGACTTGATATAAGTAACAAGGGAACAGTTACTCGTATCAACAGTTACCAATTACCAACAGTAATTGGTGCACAAAGCAGTATGCTGTTCTGTGGCAAAGTATTATAAGGATTTTCTGTCCAGGGACTGTTACTGTCACAACTAATCAGTATTTTCTTCCTTTCAGAATAGCCACCCATGAGCCAAGTGTTTGGGTGCAGTAGAGTTACTCATCGTTGGTAGTTATAGGCTATGGACAAGAATACAGTTTGTGCTAATGTCCATTCTCACCTGCATTTCATCATGTGATGGCACATCTGTGGCAGCTCTGCACACAGAATGAGTCTGTAACAAGCTCATCGGTCTCCCGGGATGCACAAATGAACTTTGCTTTTTTCACCAACCTCAGTTGCCTGATTCGGTTTTTTCTTAAAACAAAACAGCACTTAGTAGAGCTGAAGGGCTACTTAATTCAACTAATGGAAGTGGAGACTCTGAACAAACCCCAAAATTAAGGAAATGTTAAATGTGCTTTCCTAACCTTAATTCTGCTCGCTATTTTGAGGAAACATGAAGAATAAAGCAAATCTTGCTGTGTATTTCTTCATTTGTTATTTCCATGTGGTCATCCTTCTTTGTCTTCTCTCAGATTCAAATCTCTTTTATTGCGCCTGTTTGTGAGACCCTAGCTGACTCCCCCATCAGCATGAGTTGGCTATTTCCATCATTTTCTATTTAAAGAGAAAGCAAACAGATCTAATATGCAGTGTCTGAGTTTGAAATCTGTCCCGGAAAATGGCGTAAATTTATGTATTTATTTTTGCAGGTGACATTTTGTAATCTCTTGGAATGTCTTGGGGTTAAGCTGAAAATGCAGATCTATAACTGTGCGTGCCCCAGGGGAAATATTAACAAATCTGATGCAATGTTAATAAATCATAATGATTGTTATTATTATGCTTTGGATGTGTTGTAATAAAGCCACAACATTGTTTTATTGGGAAAAAAAAATCAACCCCCAAATGTATGATTTCATTCCTGTACAGTAATATTTCTGTAATTAATATTTCAAACTTCTATGAGGTCTTCCTCTGAGGATACCAAAGTATTTCACAGATACTAATTAAATAAGGTCTTATTCGGCAATCTCTATCCATATAAGAAGTCTTGGCTTCCCATCTGCAAGGAATTTTGAACTCTTCTCTAAAGTTAATGAGCTTGATTATTTCCAATTCACTAATGTAGAAAATGAGACACAGAGGAGTTAAATGACTTACTCAAGACAAAAGAGAGAGTTAGTGGTATCTGAAAATAGATCTTCTGAAGCAGAGTTCTGCACTTGTATCAGAAAATGGTGCAGCAGCGTTCACAGGAGCTCCAAATACATGAAAGGGGTGCACGGGGCTTTGCAAGGAAACCCAGGAATGTGGGAGGGAAGGGAATTGCAGTGTGCTTGGTGTGAATGGCATGGGGAACCATCTGCCATGTTCATAGTTGATGGGACTTTGAGTCCCAGTACCTTTTTTATAATCAAACAGTCCATCCTGGAAGACGTAGGCACCCTTGTCCCTGCCAAACATGAATCTGCATCACAATATTGGCATTTTTCCTTGAGTTCAGTGGGACATCAAGCTGGCCATAAGAGTGCCAAGGGTGTGGATCTGATGAGAGACTGCCAAAAGGCAAGCAGAAGTGTTAAATGTGGGAAATAGATACTCACTCTTGGTTTTAAGCCAAGGCTGGTTACAATCTTAAAGTAATATCAGGGAAAAAAGTGCTGGGTGTTGTTTAAAACTCATGGAGGGTTGGCTGACATGTTTTCAAGGGCGTAAGAGTTTCACACCCTCTTGGTGACGGCATCCAGGGCTCCTTTGCCTGCCACAGTAACTGCTGAATGTCCTTAACTTTGGACAAAACAACAGCCCTAGCACTAGTTATGAGGGGCAGATGGTTTTACGGGCAGCAGAGAAGGTGGACGTATCAGATACTGGCCATCCTGTCATGCTGGAGCAAGCCGGATCGAGGAGCAAGCATGGAGAGGGAATGATGCTGGTCCTGAAAGACCCTAAAAGCAAAGCAGGTGAGTTGGAAGGGACTTGCTAAACCGGTTCCTTTCAGGATTGCTTTTGTTAAGCCTTAGACAGGGGGTGTTTATGCACTGACAGGGTGAGTACAGCTAGCCTGAGGCTCGACAAGGTGCTCAGAAAGGAAACCAGACCCATCGCAATCTAGGCTTTATTCTCTTTATATGCAATGTTTTGCCATGGGAATCAGTGAAGCAGGAGCTGAAGGAAAAAGCACAGGCATCATTTTGATACTGTGTTTTACGGTTTCCCTTCATTCATCGTATTAGCTGGACAAATACATAGAAACCTTCCCAAACTGAGTATTATCCCCATGTTCCAGCTAATCCAACAGTGACAATTCTCCTGTATGTGCCTGACTGTTTTCTTCTAGCTCATCCCTGGATCAGTGCTATCTCTCCCTTGGCCAGCTTGCCCTCTGCCAGATGTGGCGAAGATGGCTACCATTTCACATTTATGGCCTTGAGGAGTCTGAGAGAGGGTCTGTTGTTCATGTTTATGTGGTATGAGAGCAGTTCTTTTCCAGTAGTAAGGTCTTGCAAATACTACTTGGAACAGGTTCACAGCTGCTTTTGTCATCTTTTGGAATCCTGAAGTCTCAAACTTGCAGCCTTAAAAATATACAAATCACTCTAAAACATCAATAAATACCCACGTAATGTTTGCCTGTTTTGTTTAACAAGCAGCAGCTAAAAGAAAAGTAAATTGAGTTCCCTTCTCCCCAAGTAAATAAAACTCTCCAGGACAACATACTTTACTTCAAAATTATAAGGCAATTTTTTTTTTTCTCTTTAGGTTCCAGAAACATGTCCATATATGGTCTACTTGTCAGGGACAATAAATAATGATGTAATAGAAAGGTCAACTTTGTGTCATTTAGCTACGGGATGCTTGATGAAGTGAAGTTCTTCAGATAATGCAACAAAGAAGAACTTTAGGATGGGTAAAAGTTTCTGCCGTGCATCTTCAAACAGGAAATCTGAGATTCAGAACAACTTATATTTTGGCTTGTATTCACTGATCATGGGGTGATCCAGAAATAAACTCCAGGCTTCAAAGCGAGAGTGTTTCAAAGCTGTCCTGCAGTTGATCGAAACATCCAGGCAAAGCAGGGAGATGAATACCAGCAAGGATTTTCTGAATTAAGACTTAATCAAGGAGATAACCCATTTCAACAGTACTATTACCCTTTTATTTCAGAACAAAAAGGTAATGCAAATATGCATGTTTTGAACTTATTTATCATTTTCAATCTGTCAGTTTGCTATGTCTATGCAAATATTTATTCCTGTAGCAGTTTGTAACCTAACACCCTAACACAGTCTTGGGAGTTTCTGTGGTTTGGTTTTGGTTTTTGTTTTTTTTCAAATAAGCCATAAAACACTCACTGGTGTTAAGCAGAACTGTAGCTCTGCCATTTCCTTATTTTTCTTTTACTTGCAGGTGATGCTTATGTCTTTGTCCCTAGAATAGCTTGCTCAGAAATAATTGTCATTGTTGTGACAACATGCTAAGGTACAATGTAGTGTGCAAGGCACAGTGTGAAGGAAAAAAAATTACATCAGCAAATTATTCCTTTCATTTATAAATTTCCAGCTGGTATGACACAAAGCTAACATTGCACTGATTGCTGTGTGAATTAATGCTTTCTGAGAAGAAATAAAAGCTTGCAGGTGTATGCATTTCCAGTAAAGAATTTGCACAGAGTCACAGTTTGATGGCATCATAACATATGCCAGACTGATAGGTGACCTTATTTGACAGCTGGGGCTTGACAAGGGGATTTGTTTGCTTGGAGGATTCTTTTGGGAAGCCTGGCTTTGCTCCTTCAGCACTGGGCTAGAACTTGAGCGGCTTGCATAAGCTGTCATTACAAAATATATTTGCCTGTTGCCACAGCTGGATGGCATGAGGTGTCATCCTTCTAACGTCCCAGCTCTGGCAGATCTGATGGGCACTGAAATTTTTCTCTTTTTAAAGAAATCATTTGCTTCCCAGCAGTAGTTACCCAATATAATATCCTTTGAGAACTGCAAAGATTTATGTGGAAACTGACCTAAAATACAGCAAAAATGTGAGTACTTTAAGTGCTGCAAATTGGTCTAGTTTCCACTGCCATCAGAGGATCTGACCTGAAAGGTGCCGCAGCAAGAGCTAAAGTGGAGGCTTGGTTTACCATGAAGACTTCCAGACGTGTTTACCTTCCCCCCGTGTGTGCTCCTGCTGCTCTCAGAAGTAAAAACACAAACACATGGAAAGGCAAATACGTATCTGAAGAAGCTGGGGCTCAATCATTCCTTGCAAAAAGCAAAATGAGCAAGCCGCTCCTCTTCTCTCTCTTTTGCAGCCTCTGAAGACTTGTTTTTGTTTATAGAAATGTGATTTATCATACCCTGAGCCATAAATACTGAGGTCCTGTATTGAGTTACAAGCTGACTGGGGTAAACTCAGTGCAAAGGCAGGCAAAGTCCCTGGCTCTGCTCCCTTAATGACCTTGTCACTCACCTGCCACCCTCCTCTGACAGCAGTAAGTAATTCTGCTAATTCTGCTGCCTGCGATCTATTGAAGGAGGACAGGCAGCCTCGCTAAGCTTTTCTTTAAGGAAGTGCTGTCAATGGGGACCAGTTGTTTCAGATGCTAATGGTATTGAATAGCACGGTTCTGCATGTTCAAAGCCAGCTGTAATCCTTGTTGTTTATTTATGTTGCATCAGGGATCAGAGGCCCATTCTCCCAAACACGGTATGTTTACAGAGCTTGTAGTCCAAATATAATAGCAACCTAATTCTGTTTGTCTGTGGCTTTTGCCATAATGTGAGTGGTTACTAATAGCCACCCTGGTGAGTAGTACCTTTCGTTTCGAAGATCTGCCAGGTACAGCTGCTCATTAACACAGGACAGAGCGTCACAGCCTGGCCCTGGCACCAGCATTTCATTTCTAACCTTACATTCTGGTCACTGGATGCAGCTAAGTTACCTCTGCCTGGCACAGGCCTGATTTCTACATCTAAATAAACAAACTCTCTCTTAGATAGGGATGGCAAAATTAAGAATCAGGATCAAGCCCTATGCCCTATGTGGAAATGATGATAAATTTAGATCCAGAAGATCTTGTCAGACTGAGCTATTAAATGGCAGCATGGGCAGCAGTATCCTAAGACATCTCTGCCAAGAGAGATCACTAATGAAGCCATTCAGACCTGAAGGCAAAGCAATCTCTAAGGAATAATAAGGGCACTATACCCACAGCTTTAAAAATCAGATTCTGCTTGTACAGCACATGCAATGCTGTGTGCTACCTGCACGTGAGGATGGGCTCTTGGTCTGCCAGAGAAATGTAGGGGACAGCCAAACATTAAAACCTCCCCCAAATCCTGAAGTTAGAGTGAACAGTAAACCCAGCATTTAACATATAAATCTGATTCCAATACTTTAAACCTACAGTAAGCAGGCTCAGAGCAAGCAAATCGATTCAAGTTGCATTTAGAAAGACCACTTTGGCCAGATCTTACTTATCCAAACTGGTTCAACCATTCCTAGCAACAAAGATTGATTTTTTTTTCACACCTTTGTTACAGAAGCTTATAGTGCATTAGTCTAATGGGCTTTCATGACATTGTGGTAGTTCACCACTGGCCACAGATGGGATTAGCTTAGCCCTGCTATGTCAGCTGAGCCAGGGTAGTGCCAAGCGATGCCACCAAGCTCAGCCGCAGTGAAAGAAGGTTAAACTGAATCAGGCTGCATTGCATTAGCCTCCAGCTGAGGGCATGTGCTGGGCCTGTTACTGCAGCTCATCTGGCTCACTGTGGCTTGTTACAGAAAGAACTTGAACAAGTGCCTGAGCCTCGTGGCTCTGCAGCTTCAAACAAAAGCATCTCCAGGTGGGAGGGTGGTGGCTCTGCTCTGCTCCGGTTGGGGCTGTTGCACAGGGAGCTGTACGGAGGAGGCACGTGTCGTGCCTCCTGCCAAACTCAGACACACCACGCAGGTCAGTCTGAGGTAAGGGAGACAGGCAGAGGGAAGCAAGAACAGTTTGAAGCCCAACTGGAACCGTCTCTGCTAAGGGTCAGGACAGCCAAGGCTGTCCTTGGCTATCAGGACCAACCCAAAAGCTCCTGCAGCCCCAGGATGTGACCCTCACACCTTCATTGGGGTTGTGCCAGTTAGATGAGCAGAACTGAAAGCTTTTTCTATTTTGGGCCCCACAGCATTTCTTCCTGCAGGATGAGTCAGTGGCGGGAGCTGCAGCCAGCACTGTGGTTTCTGCACTCCATGGAACTCCTGTCAAAATATTTAGATTAGTGAGGATCACCAACATGCAGGGGAGGTTCTCCCTTTTCTCTGGGAGTGGGTGGGACCCAGTTAACCCGTACAGAGAATAAGAGGGTGAAATAGCAGTGATTCCCAAACTCAAAATCTTCCTTTTCCCTCCCTGTGCCTCAACGAGGTGTGAAACAAAAGAAGGAGCGAGGGGAAGATGTCCAGAAATGGCCTTTATACCTAGATCCATTGGGGAGTTAGTGAGGCATCTAAATCAGTTAGCTTATCTGTGCCAGAGTGCGGAGTTGCATTGGCAGTGGTCTCCTGTACGCTCCTCAAAGCCCTGACTGCCCATGAAGGGACTCTAACACCCAGCTCAGAAGCACGGTGAGGCTGGACCCACTGCCTGCTCTGCCTCCTGTGCTCTCAGGATGCTGGCGGTAGGACTGGGGTGGATAAAGAGGGGGGATCTGTGCCCCATGCTCCACTGGTGCAGGTTGTCCTCTGAGAGGAGCACTTTCATCTCCATTCTTGCCTCCTCCAAAGAGTCATTGTGCATCGCCTCCATTAGGAGCTTACGATCAGATCCTGCCCTCTGCATTAAGTGCTTAGTTAAGGTCTCTGAGTCACCACTGGGGCCAGGTCCCTACATTTAGGCATTGCAGTGCTGGATGCTGCAGACAAGCCCTCTGACTCCAGCCCGTGGGTTTCACACATCCGCAGCACACCAGTTACTGAGTGAGTACATAGGCTGATGGACTATGAAAGTGCTGCCCAGCATGCCAGGAGTTGAGCAAGCCAAGCAGCAGCAGAAGCTGCTAGGAAAACAAAGCTGTGTCATGGTTCTTGGCCAGGCACGGGCTGGAGGGCAGCCAAGGACAGGTACTGGAGCGGCTGGGGCACGGGGCGGGCAGCAGCTCCATATGGGAGCTATCAGCGGTTTGATGCCTGGACTTGGTTCCTTGGGACAGCAAGGGTCATAGCAGAGCTGAGGCACACCAGCTCTCACTGGAGAAGGTAACCAACAGCAGCCATGAGAGATCTGGCTGAAAATAAAAAAAGAAAACCCAACAAAATTGGGTTGCATTATTTACAGCAACAAAAGGTTTTATTTTGGCAGTTTTCATGGCTGTAAAATTCTTCCTTCATCATTAAAAGTCATAATGTCAGTCTGGGCTTCCCTTTACCCAGAACTCTTCCCACTTCTTCTGGGTGTGCTTGGAGTCTGAGGTGGCTGTTGATGTGGGAGATATCACCATTTCTGAAGTGAAAAGCTTAAATCCAAGATTTTATGTTACTTATGGCTTGATTCAAGCTCTTGCAATTTCTTCAAACTGTATTAGTTTCTTTTTTAAAAAAATTACGGTTAAAGAAACAAACATGAGTGTCTTGACATGCATAGATACGCCTCTGTCGCCATTTGGGGAACTACCATTTCCTCCAGGTCAGGACCATGTCTTGGCCATGCACACAGCAGCGAGGACTGCTAGAGCAGGGCAATCTCCTGGCGCAAGGCTCACAGCGTGCTGGACATTGACATGGGTGCGAGTCCCTGGGCAGCCAGGCTGCCCCAGGCGCTCAGTGAGCCAGGGTGAGAGTCCCAGCCTGCTGGAGACAGCAGCCGTGCAGGGAAGGGGAACTGAAGGCTTTGCTGTCAGTGGTGCCCGGTGTGGCAGGAGGCAGGTCCTGAGCAGCAGGAGGCTGGGTGGCTCTGCCAGCCTCATGCCTGTGGCTCTGCCAGGGGGCCCAACTCAGCAAGGCCCATGGCCAGGTAGGGCAGGGCTGTGGGGAGCTGGAGACCAGCCCTGCTGTGGCATCACTGGGGCAGGGACTGACAGCCCCAGGGTGGGGTGCAGGCAGCTTTGTTGGCAACCACGCTGGTGCACTCAGCCAGTCCCTTGCCTCTCTGCACCTGGGGGACATGCCTCCACAGTACCTTTCTGCTGGCTCGCTGTCCTCCCCTGCCCTGTCCACAGACAGCTTGTACCCGTTGCTCCTCGTCCCAGCACTCCCCATTATTTTACACAGTTCTCACTCACTGGTGTGCTTATAAAAAGCAAACCTATTACCCCTTGGTTGTCATGCTCTTAAAAGAGGCAAGCTCTCCCATCTTCTCCCATGAAATAAGTCCTTGGCTCTCTGGCATCCAGATGAGATCTTGCTAGAGCATCGAACCATTCATGGCATTAGTACTTCCCTATCACGGCTGGAAATACTGCAGTATTTTGGATTGTCTTTGCCTTTTTGAGTCCACGCTGCAGTGATAGTTCACAGTCATTCTGTGATTGCTGAGCGTGCCCTGACGTTTCCCCATTTCTCTCATTTCCAGCTTTCAACCACTCGTTTTTACAAGGTAGTCTGACCATAAGTCTTAAAGCTCATGACCTTGAACTTTGTTCTGTGAAAAGCAAAGAATCAGAAGTGAAACTGAGCAGTGTCGTGTTGCTCTCTTAGCTGAGTGAAACAAAGTCACTTCAAAGAATAGCTTTGCATGTTGCTCGACAGATCTCCAGATAAGGTGGAAAAAATTACTCCATGAAGTCACTTTACACTTCATGGTGGAGAACCTGCCCTTGCAGAAAACTGGCAAACAGACAGACAAACCTCTTCCCTTAATTTTCTGCAATTAGAGCAAGAAATAAAACAAACAAAAAAACAAGAAAAAGAGATGCCCATTGGCATTCTCCTAAATAAATTCATTTCAAAGCTATATCTCTTTAATCTTATGGGGACTTCCTTTACCTATTTTTCTCTCGAGCTGTGGGAACCAGAATAAGTAGATAAAAACCTGCCTTGCTTGCGGCAGCTCCCTTCCCTTTTTTAAACACCAGCTAAATCAGTTACTTCTATGTGATAGAAAGGAGTTAGTTCATTAAGTTTACATGCAGATTTTAGCTGATAATGTTCTCTCCCTGGTGAAGGATTTCTGAAGGGTTTTCTGGTGGGTCTAATCAAAAGGCAGAGCTGAATAAAAGCACAAAATAGTTGAGTTTCTTTCTTTCATTTTCCAGATTTTGATGATCACAATTTCCTTTTACAGGAAAGCAAAAAAAAATAATGGCTACAACAGCAGCAAATACTCAAAGACAAACGATAGGCTGCGAGGAATACAGTCTGTACAGCAGCTTGAGTGAAGACGAGCTTATAAAGATGGCCATCCGGCAGAGCTTGGAAGAGGACCCCACGGGTCAGCCAGCTGCCCAGAGCCACCAGAAGTCGATGGTGTGAAGACGAGCTTATAAAGATGGCCATCCGGCAGAGCTTGGAAGAGGACGTCAGCCATCAGCCAGCTGCCCAGAGCCACCAGAAGTCGATGGTGACGGTGAGGCGGGAGGCGGGCGCCG